ACACAATGTATTAATTTTAGTTAGTTGGTTATGTATTTTTTAAATAAAAAAAAAATTTTGAATTTACTTACTTGTAGTCGGAGTTAGAGGCGGTCAGATACTTATGACCGCTACTGTAGAATAGCTAAATTTAAGTTTAATTAATTTAAAATCTAAAGTAATATAATAGAAATTTATATAAAGCTATAATTGGATTACTTGTTATATGATAAAAAGAATTTAGTTTAAAATACCTTTTTTGTTTTATTATTTAACTGTAAATTTTATAATATATATTAGATAGCTTATATATAAAAATTTTGCTAATTATAAGTATAACAATAAAAAAGCAATTTAATTAGTATAATATTTAAATGTCTTATATTTCTATTTTTTAAATACATATTTATACTTTATTTACTTATAAATTATAAATAAAGTCTAATATAAGTAAATAAATAAATGCTTATAACATATTTTTATATCACTAGTCAAAATAGTCCACTTCAGCCAAGTTTTAATTAGATAATTTGAGGCTAAATTATGCTTTAATATTAGTTAAAATCTAAAGCGTACTTCACTGCCACTCAGCTTTAAGTTTTGATCAAACTTTTATTAGAATTCGTGATAAGTTATTGATCAATATTTAAGCAAATTTTAAAATAATTATGTAAATATTCATTATATAAATTATGCAGCAATTTTGAAATAATTATATAGACATTCATTACATTGAATTATGCAGCTTTAACTACTATTATTTATTTATAAATTTCAAATGTAATTTAGTAATAAAAACATATAAAAAAATATAATATATACAAATAATTAATATATGGACAGACCCATAGTAAAAGATATGGCTCAGACAGTCATATAATTTTGAGAAAATTACAGTTAAAGTTTTTGCGTGCTTTTCTCATGATTATTAGAATTTTTTAAAAATATTCTTTATGATCTATATACAAGCAGCCTTTTAAGAACTTTCGCTTTAAAATATTAATATTATAGGAAAAAGATTAAATTGTAGCTCTTTTGTAACATTCTTCAAGTCTATCTTTATTAAAATATAATTTTATGATATTTACAAAATTTACAGCTATAATAAAATGAAAAAAAATTAAATTTGCAGACTTTTTTACTAAATATATTGTAAAAAAAGATTACCTTATGAAAACAAGATCAATAAGTATGTGATTATCAATAAAATCTCAAAAATAACATAATTGTCTGAGTCTCACCTTTTGTTGTGGGTCCACCCATATAAAAAATATAATAAAAATGTAAAAAAAATGTCAATAAAAGATATAAAATAAAAAATAAAAAATAAAAAATATAATACAATGTCAATAAAAGATAGTAAAATAAAATGTAAAAAATAAAAAAAAAAATATAATATAGAATATATGAATATATATTATTCAAAAGATTTATTTCTATTTGATATTCTATTTAATACAAATAATAATTATTTTCCAAAAAATTTCGGCAGCTAAAATTTTCAAATAAAAAAAATAAAATGAATGGATTAGATAAAAAATAATCAAAAAACAAAAAAATAACTTATCAATAATGTATTGATCAATTTTGACATCATTAGAATTTTAAAAATTAAGTTAAAAAATATCATAAATTATGCTAAAATTTATAATAAATATTCCTTACCTTTTCTTTCATTCCTTTAGCATTCAAATATTTACCAATTTGTCTTTATTTTCTTGAGAACTAATTGAAATAATCAATATTTGATCACTATCTAATTATGATAATATGGATAAAATGTTATATATTAATTACAAAAACAAATTTAAAATAAATGTTAATAAATTTACCTTCAATATCAAAATCATACTCCTAATGATTTTATTTAATATAGCTCTAATCAGATGTTCCTTCTGAATTCAGAAGGTTAAAATGTTGAGCTTGATCATTATAATTACATTTCTTGTTAGCTAACTGGACTGTAATATTAAAACATGTAGATCAAAAATATTTCAAAGAAAATGCTTTAACTGAAATGAATAATAATAATGTAAATATTAAATATATACAAAAAAATAAATAAATATCAGATATAGAACCTCGTATAATCTTCATATAAGATCATAAATAATAACAGTTTGACACAATAAATCTTTTTCATTAGTTTCACTCATCTCTGATAAGTAAGTTTTTTGTTTACTAACAAAGTAAGTAATTTCTTCTTATTATTTTTTGATATTTCTTGATAATTGACTGAATAAAAGGCCTTTACTCCCTTTATTTAGTGAATCCTTTTCTAAATTATAAATATAAAATTAGTATTATACATATGTAATAAATATGTTAACTTTAAGTAATAAATCATATTTTATTTAAATGACTATTAGCATGTAAGCAACGGTTATCTTTATCGAGTCATCCCTTATTTTTATAATTGTTTTAGCTTTTTCTAGACCTATGTAATAACTTTAGCCAGGAGTTTATCTGATCATAAGAAGTATGATAATTCAGCTTTAAAGTCTTAATCAGTTCCAGGATTAATTTTCTTAAATTTTAATGTTCAAATTACTGTTAAATATTTCAGAGTAGTTCATTTTCTAATTTTTGAGAAACAGTTTTCAAGATGAATTTCATCACCATCTAAAATATAAAAAAAAGAAAAGAAAAGAATAAAAAGAAATTTAATTAAGTATCAGTACAAATTATTAAATTATTTAAGAAAGTTGGGTAAACCCTAGCCTTTCATTCATTCACTTCTTTGTCTTTTTCATCTAAACTACTTTCTGAGCTTTCATCAGAACTACTCTCAGAACTTTCAAAGTTCAAGCTCTCATATCTTCATTTTTCTTTTGATTTAGAATGCTTTTCTTTTGATTTACTCTTCTTTGAACATCTTCTTTTTGATTTCTTTAATTTTTTAGATTATTTATATTTACGTTTATTTGATCAAGTTTCATTACCCAATTACAGATCTTTCAAGAATTCAGCTGATTGATACTTATTAAGGTCTTCTTTCAGTTTGTTATTTTTACGATCAAATTCTTCATTAATCTCAATTAAAAATTGGTTACTTTCTTGTGAGCTTTTAAGATCTAAAGAGATATTTTGAAACCTTTTATTGAGTTCATCTAATTGATGTCAAAACTTGTCATTTTGGAACTTTAAATTCTCATTTTTAGTTTTTAAAGTTTGTGTCAAATCCTATGAAACTTGAGAAGATTTGACTGACTTTTCAGGTGTTTTGTTCTGATTAAGTAAATATTTTGTTAGTAATTAAATATTTCTAATCATTACCAGATTCAATGATCATCAGGAATATTTTTAATGCGAAGTATTGCGTAAAATTTACGATTTGTAAACTTATGCAAATATTATGGCGTAAGGTTACGCAATATTTATGTTTTAGCGTAGTACTTCGCAATATTTACTAATCGTAATATTTGCGAAAACCTATGGGCGTAGTACTTCGCACTATTTACTAA